TCTATTTTATTCTCCACACCTAACACAATGGTTAACACATGGCTAGTGGCTATCATTTTGAACAATGTGGTTTATAGATATCTCATCATCAAAAGAAGTTCTGTTGAACAGAGCCGGCTAGAATCTAATAGATGTTCAATAAGTGGTTAGGCGTTTTCAGCAGCAGCATTTGTTACCCTCAAATGTTGGCCCTGCAAATGTGCCTTCCGTGTGGTCTCACTCAACCAGATCGTATGCAGCACCTACCGTCTGCAGAACCTGTGCTATAGGCTGTGGGTACACAGGTGAGCCAGTGGACTGTGCAGTCTGGGAATTTTAGTTCGGTAATAGATATTAAATAAATAATCCCCTAAATGAATAGGAATGACAGATGGTGTAAACCTCTGTCCTAAAAACTTACCTCTCTGTTACTAAGTAAAAGTTAAGAACCAAACCATCCCTTGGGTTGTCTTGAGGATTCTAGGAGATGCTGAGTATGTGATTGGTTGCAACTACATGGTACAGTTATTAGGAAGAAGAGCTCAAAAAGAAATTAGTTCACTCATTTATTCACTAATAATCACTGAGCACCTACTCTGTAGCAATTAGGTGCTGAACAAAATAGCATATTAGCCAAGGCTCTCTGCCCTCTGGGAGTTGACACTTCTCATGGAGAAAGAAAGACAATGAATAAATAATTAAAATGTGTTGTATGGTGGTCAGCTTTTTGGAGAAAAAGCAGTGAAGCTGTATAGGGAATTCTGTGAATGCAGGAGCTGACATTTTAATGACTATTTTAATATTTCTCAAGACCATTCAGTTGTAGTGAAAACCCTTCTCTTGCCTTGTGGGAGCATGTGCATTCAGGTAATGCAACATTCCCATTTCACAGAGGACAGTGAGCTGCTCAGAGAAGTGACACTAAGACAAATCAAAGATGTGCAAGACCACAGGCCCCGGCTCACCAGGCGTTCGGGGAGCTCCTCCTTGAGAGCCCCTATGGGAAGAGCTGGGGTGAGGGCGGGGCGCAGAGATGAGCAAATCGTCACACGGGCCAGGAGGAATAGAGATAAGGATAGAGATATGGATAAGCACAAACCAAGCACAGGGGGAGATTCAGTCCAGTCTGAAAGTTTCATGGTGATGGAGCATTCGAGATGGACGGAAAGAAAAGGTGGGATTTCTTGACTGACCAAGATGACCTGGGGTGACAGAGGGGAGGCACATGAAGTATGAAAGCAAGAGGCGTGTTTAGTGACACCTAGGGACGGAGTCGGGATACAGGGGCATAAATAAAGCAGAGGAACGAGAGACACGTGAGAAGTCAGACATCTGTAACCCAGAAGAGGGCCCTCGCCAGAACCTGGCCATTTTGACACCTTCACCTTGGACTTCCAGCCTGTAGAAGTATGAGAATAATTCCTGCTGTTCCTAAGCCACCCAGTCTGTGAGTTCGTTGTAGCAGCCTGAATTTTAACACTAAGACATCAGTGAAATATATATAATTACTTATATGTAATTTTTCAAGCTCCAACTTCTCTTCTCTATTATATTAAAAGATTTGTAGATTATGAATGCCACCAAAAATTATTTTCCCATGAACGTGTAATACAGGTGTGGAAGCAAAGTGCATTGACTTTAAAAAAAAAACAACACACATTTTAAGCAACAATATGCAAAAAAAAAAAATACTTCTACTTCTCAGGTACTGTTTCCGTTTAAGAGAAGTGAATACGATGAGTTCAAGGCCCCGATTTCTTCCTGAAGAGGCTGAAGGGAGTGTGGCTTCATTTTTCGGCGGTGATCCAGCCAGAGCTAAATTGCCTCATCGGAAGGCGGAGCGTTCCCCTGATTGGAAAGGCTCAGAGCACTCAGAACGTGATGAGACGACGTTTCCAAAGGAAACGGCCCCTTCAGAGGTTTGAGGGCTCTCGCACTCCCAGTCTTTCAGGCACAAACACATTGGCTGTAAAAGTCAGTTACAGACCTTCTGCAAGGAGTGTGTAACTTTTATAGCTCAAACTCTACCATTGATTTTTTTTTCTCAAGGATATCTAGACTATATTAATTTTTAATATACTGACCTAAGGTGCCTGGCTACTTTTAGATAAAGCTGTCAGATATCCTTTAGCTTAAAAATATGCTGTGCGAGATAAGACAGGCAAAGGACTACACGGCCAGAAAACCTCTCAGATGGAGAGAAATAATCGCAAATGGTGTCATGTCGACGCCTCCGGGGAAGGCTGGCAGGAAAACAGCCCCAAGGAGACTCGGATCAGCCAAGAGGCCCAGTCCGCTCTGCTCTTAGGTTATTTCACAGATACCAGCTCCGTCCAAGATCCCCGGCCGGACGGACACTTCAGCAAACATCACTGCCTAGAACGAGATGAAGACCACTCGTGCACAAGGCACAGAGGGTACTGTGATACAATAAGTACCCATCTGGCCTTAGTCCCGGTTCCTGACACAGAAGCTTCTCAGACTCCAGGAATCTCTGGAGTGATAACAGTGTCTTTTGTGTGTTAATGAGGTGACTGGTGGCTGGGGGCCCCTAGGTAACTGCAGGATGGGGGTTGGTCAGGGAAAGGCCAAAGCAGGATTAGAGGGCCAGAACTGTCAGCCCCACCCCAGACCTCTAGAGAGGGAGGAGAGCCTGGAGATAGTTCCCCAGTGGCTGGTGATTTAATCAGCCACACCTACATAATGAAATTCCCTGAAGCCCCGTACACTGTAGGGTTCAGGACCTTCCAGGTTGGCGGACACATGGAGGCGCTGGGAGGGCAGTGTGCCCAGAGAGGACGTGGAAGCCCCCCACCCCGCCCCCCCATGCCTCTCCTGGGCATCTCTTCTGTTGGACTGTTCCTGAGTTGTTTCCTTTACACCTTCAGAACACACTGGTAACAGTAAATGAAGTGCCTTTCTGAATTCTGTGAGCCACTGTAGCACGTTTTCAAAGGAGGGGGCTAAGGGACCCCCCAACTTTACAACAAGTCTATCAGAGGTACAGGTGGCAACCTGGGACTTGTGACTAACATCTCAAGTGGGGGCAGTTTTGTGGGACCGTGCCCTTGACCTGTGGGGTCTGTGCTGATTGTCGGCGGTTAGTGTCCGAACTGAACTGAATTACCGGGCGCCCAGTTGGCATCCAGAGAGTTGGAGAACTGGTGGTTGTGCAGGGGAGAAACTCCACAAGGCTGGTGTCGGAAGCGTGAGTAAAACATAGTTCAGAGCACGTGAGGATCAATTTTACCTGTTTAAAAATTTTCAAGTTCAAATTGCTCCGTTTAAAACTCAGCACCTGGCAACACACGGTCAGGGGCCTAAGCTCCTGTGGTGGGGGGAGGGGGTGGCTGCAGAGCAGGTGGAAGGAGAAGGGAGCCTCTTCCCTCCTGAATGCCCCTCCTGGGAGCCACTCCAGGGCTTTAGGAAGTCTTTGTGCACGTCCGGGTTCCAGCTCCGAGCTGACAGCAGCACTGTTGTGGGTTTCACGTTGGGTTCCCCGATTAAGTGCGAGGTCCCCGTCTCCGTGTTCCCAGCACTGAAGACAGGGCCTGGAAGGACAAAGGTCACAATGGATTGTGATGAGCAGTGCACAGTGAGGGACAGCAGACATGTGGTATGTTTAGGGGATGAGGGCACGAAGGAGAAAGTTGCCCTTCACCACCATAGGAAGAGACATTGCTTGATGAAAAAAAAAAAATGGTTGTCAAGTTTTTGTTTTCTGAGACGAATAAAATGATTGCCATTGTTTTCCACCTCTGAGTCTGAGGGTGGTTTGTTGCAAAGCAGTAGCAACCAGAACGGGTCTTGGTGTCGGGAAGTGGCTGCCACTGAAATTCAAGCCTAAGTTGGCTCCTCCTCCCTGCGATGCTGGGCCCTTCCCGGGGCCTCCTGTATGGGGTCCTGCCATGGGAAAGCATGTTTTATCGCTGGAGGGAAGTCACCTACCTCCCAGCATGCTTCTAGGTGCAGAAGGGGTGGGCAGCAGGTCCCAGGGCAGGATGTACAGCGAGGGAGAGAAACTCAGGGTCCCCAAAGGGCCAACCTGTCCCACTAACAAGTGGCAAAACTCACAAAGGAACAACAATACCAGTGACATCCTCAAGAATATGCTTTGAATTTTGTATTTGCTGGATTTATTCATCCGGAAACACATATATACTTTCTCTGCTTTAAAATAACATATGGTTAATGGGGCAAGTGAAATGGGGTTTTGAGGTTTGTTTCTTTTCTACCCTCCCACCTGGAGAGTGTCCTTCAGCTTTGCTTCGGCAGACAGAGTCCCTGCCATTGGTGACTGCGTTAGACTAGTCCGGGGCCAAGGCCACTGCCTCATGCTGCATGGCCCGGCTGCTCAAGGCCTGCGCTGCCTTCTCCTCCTCTGTCTGTCTGTCTGTCTTCCCCAGCACCTTTGCCAACTCATGGCTCTGAGAAGAAACCCCTTTCTGTCTGGCAAAAGTAAGCCCAGTCGTGTTCTATTTGTAATGACTTCTAAGTGCCTGCTCTACAGAAGAAAAGCCAGAGATGGCAGCAGGCTGGGGCAGGGAGCTGGCAGCAGGAGGAAGGAGGTGCGGGCGATCTCACTCCAGCCACACGGGGCGGCGGGCCCAGGTTTTCACATGAGAAATGTGGAAGTTCACGTAGCACTGCCCCACACAGGGAGAGAAGTCTGCCACCGTCCCCAGTCCTTGCCCTTGTTGGAGTGGCCAGAGAGGCCACAGATGAGGGATGCAGCTACCTGCACCCAGGCCCATCCTCGCCTGCAGGAAACACCAAGGATGCCTGTGAGGGAGGTCTGTGGACAGACGGACTGATGCGCTGTGCCTGCCCTTGGCCTTGAGCACTGGGCCAAATGGCTGTTCAGATAGGAGAGCCTGTCACGGCCCCTCTGGCAGTGGCGTGTGACCATCCACGGTGCTGTGGCCGTCTGTTCTGTCCCAGCTCAGACCTCAGCCGAGACCGGGGCCTGTGCTTCTTTCCCTGCTGACCCCTGAACGACGTGTGTCTGCTCTGCTTTGTAGTTCTTCCCTTACGGAGACGCCTCCAAGTTTGCCCAGCACGCCTTCCGAACCTTCGACAAGAACGGGGACGGCACCATCGACTTCCGAGAGTTCATCTGTGCCCTGTCCATCACCTCCAGGGGCAGCTTCGAGCAGAAACTGAACTGGGCCTTCAACATGTACGACCTGGACGGCGATGGCAAGATCACCCGCGTGGAGATGCTGGAGATCATTGAGGTGAGCGGTGGGTGCTCTGGGGTGCGGGTGGGACCTGGGCTGCGGGGCACAGGAGGCTATGCCCCAGCTTCTTGGGCGTGGGCTACAGACACTTGGTTTCTTCCCTCAGGAGCCTGGCTAGTGACATGCCAACCTTTGACTTCTCCTAACCCTGTCCCCCACTCCAGCACAGTGTGGGAAGTCCCAGTCCCAGCTCCTGGGCACTGTCAGCTGAGAAACAGCATGTTGACCAGCCACTCACATGCCGCAGGATCTTCCACAAACACAGTTTACTGGGCGTGAAGGATGTCACAGGACTCAGTTTCTTCGTCAGTGGCTGAGCTCTGCTCTGCCGGAAATCACCCACCTCCCCCAGCTAGCCTCCCCTGCGGGTGTACGATGCTGCCGTGGCGCCTCCAACTTGCATTTTTTTAAATAAAACTCTACTGAGTCAAAATTTACAGACCATAAATCCGCCCCTTTTAACTGTACGATTTTTAGTAAACTTAGCCAAGCGTGCAACCATCACCATAACCCAGTTTCAGAACATCTTCATCCCCCCAGTGAGTTCCCCTTGCCCGCCTGCCCACGTCCTCCCCCGGACTCAGTAGACCATTGGTCTGCCTTGTCCCCATGGTCTTGTCTTCCTGGACACGTCATATACATGAAGTCAAACAACACAAGTATGTGGCCTCTTGTGTCTGGCTTCCTTTTTTTTATCTGTGTGGTAGGATTTATTACATTTCTTGGTATTGCTGAAATAGTATTCAATTGTATTAATATGTCATAGTCGTTAATCTGTTCGCCAATAGTTTCCACTTTTTTTTTGCTATTAATAATGCTGCTATGATGTGTACCTGCAAGTCTTTGTATAGATGGGCATATATTTTTAAGGCGCTTTCCTAAGGGGGAAAAATTATTTCTACCTGGAAAGTTTCCACACATTGAGAACTAACTTTGTACGATTAATGGAACAACTGGAAACTTCTTGCTCTAGTATTTAATGTATGAACATAGTACCTATTCCACAGCTGTCCTTACACAAACTCCATTCAGGGCGAAATTTTAGTGGTCCATCTTGCTTGATCGTCTAAACAGATTGTAAGTTCCTGATCAGGCGAGACCACGAGAGACCATCTTTTCCTAAAATCCCCGCAGGGCTGGGGCCCGTTGGCTGTCATCTACACCTCACACTCAGAGTGTTTAAAACGGAAACCATTCCCTCACTCCCTGAGGAACAAGAATCATGTTCCTAACCTGGGATTCTTTTTTGTTTGTTTGTTTTAGATTTTATTTATTTATTTTTAGAGAGGGAATGGAGGGAGAAAGAGAGAGAGGGAGAGAAACATTAATGTGAGGTTGCTGAGGGTCACGGCCTGCAACCCAGGCATGTGCCCTGACTGGGAATCGAACTTGCGACACTTTGGTTCGCAGCCTGAGCTCAATCCACTGAGCTACGCCAGCCAGGGCTCTAACTGGGGATTCTTGACCTCCCCACGGAGCTACTCTTTCTACCCAGTTCCTCCAGCCAGAAACCTGGCAATCATCCAAAATTCCACTGTACCCAACTGGTCGTGAAACTCACACATACGTGATCATACCATTCTCTCCTTTCAAACCATCTCCGGGGTCCTTTGACGTAAAGGGAAGTTCCTTATCACATCACAGGAGAGCCCTACGGTCTGCCTCTTGTTCTCCCTAGGCGATCTACAAAATGGTGGGCACTGTGATCATGATGAAGATGAACGAGGACGGCCTCACGCCCGAGCAGCGAGTCGACAAGATTTTCAGCAAGATGGATAAGAACAAGGACGACCAGATTACCCTGGATGAATTCAAAGAAGCTGCCAAGAGCGACCCTTCCATTGTATTACTTCTGCAGTGTGACATTCAGAAATGAGCGGAGGTCAACGCTATGGACCGCACAGAAGTCTCAATGTTCCATTCAGTCTGCAGCTATTCACACACACACACACACACACACACACGCACGCACACACGCACACACACGCACACACACAGATATTGCTTGGACTACCTATACATGGACTTGCTTCTTGTGTTTGAAACACTCGTGTGCATGAGAATGTCATTTGCTAATGAAATTTTCAAAAGCGTATATTATAAAAACCAACCAACCAACAACCTGCCACAATGTGATATGTGTAACATTATTTCATAACGGACCCTCCTTCTCCAAAGCCTGGCCAGAAATGTGCTGCAAAGAGTTATATGATTTCTTGTTCCTGTTTTGCTGATGCTTGTGTCTCCTTGATTACACAATGTTAGTGGCACTGAGGCCCCCCTTCCCCCCCAGCCACGGTAACGTAATTTAATTAATTATGTGTATCACCATTCTCCTGTAAAATAGTACTGGACAGACACGCAGAGGGGTCGAGGGCTCCTCCGTGTGGTCCACACACAGAGCTTGTATTACCAGTGAATAGAAATGTACGACATTTGCATGCCTTTTAGGTTTGCCTTAACTCTCACCTCATTTGCATCCTCCCAATATGGAAAGAGCTGTTTTGGAATTACTGCAATATAAAACTTAAACGTCCTGCTAGATGACTCATTAATTAAGTATACCTATCTATATATGCATACACACAAAGATATTATTTATTGAAAGTAAAAAAAAAAGATGAAAGTGTATTGATTTCTGCTTGAATTTTCAAAGGCTTCCGAAGAGGTGGCAAAAGATGTCCCAAATAAATTTATAACATTTGACTTTTTCCCTCAATTCTTATTTCTTAGTTTTAAATTTGAAACAGCTGTTTGTAATGATCAAGGGTCAACGAATAACAACTTACCGAATCTACCCTTACACAGACAACCCGAATTCGAAGAATTAAAGACAACAAAAGGGGAAAAAAAAAGCAACCTTCCAAGTCACCCTGGCCCTCGAAAGAGGGACAATTCATGTGGTATGTTACGTTGACAGAAAACGTACAACTTTTCTCATTCTCGAACAATGCTCGTGACGGGAAAATAAATTGCATCTCAGTGTGACGGCGGTGCTAACGGCACGCGACCTTGCACAGCCTGCACAGCCGCACGGCGCACACGCCCAGCAGGCTGGGGAGTGCCCTCCAGGAGGAGCCAGCGGGGAGGAAGGCGCCCATCCGCCCACACGAGCGAGAAGCACACCACTGGTTCCTTTTTGGGAGGAAACCGCACTCTGACCTTTTTAACCCTGAGGAAGGAAGGAGGCAGAGATTCCATCCAGAACTCTAAGGTAGGTCTGCATTCTCGGAGCACACCTAGAGCAGTTCTGTTTCTCTCCATGGTGCCGGCCAGCACACCTTTTGGTGGTGAAGGAAACGTGTGTCTGCGCCAGCTACTGGCGGCCAGTGTGACTGCTTCGCATTTCACTTCAATCTGCACACGTAGCTGGCACAGGGTCAGACAGTGCCATGCTGTGTGATTCCTTTTTTCATTGAGTCCTTTTTTCAGAACACTCTTGCCTCGTCTGCCGTAGGATCATTAAATAAGACCAGAGATCAAGGTCTACAAACTCCATTTGTCCACTCAACAGAAACGAGCAAGCAAAGCGCCTCCCAGACAGTCAGGACCCCACCAGCACCCATGGCACCAAGCTTCTGCCCCAGAGAGAGCAGTCCCATGTGTCAACAGAATGTCCTGGTACCCCTAACCCCTGAGCTAGGTGAGTCCAAAATGGGGGCACAGAGAGATGGGAAGGTTGGGTGCCTCCCCACCCCGTACTCTCCCCCCTGAGTGAGGGTGAGCCGGGCTGAGGCGGCTCCTTGGTTACATCAGGCTCCGGGCAACGCGGTCCTAGGGCATGGCAATCTTCACGGACCTGCTGTGCGCCCAACACTACTGACAGACAGCAGACGCACTCACAAACGTGCCCTTGTGAACACGACGACGAAGGAGCTCAGCACGCTCAGGGTGACGGGGTGCAGTGGTGGCTGTTCGCCACAGGCTGGTTCGGTGACATTGGAAGTAAGACCTGAATGGGAAGAAGTGGGTCCTGTGGGTATTCTGGACACTTAAGGAAAAACCAACTCTCCAGCAAAACAAACTGGTTCTTTTTATAAATAAAATGAAGAAACCGGGCCAGCAAGCGAGCACACTGGTCTTCGCTTGTTCTGGCTCCGGCACGGGGATCGGTGCAGGGATCCTGCCTGCAGAGCAGTCAGGCAGGACGCGGTCAGAGCACGTGAACTTATGCCCTCTGACCCCGCAGCCCCCCTCTGGTGCGTTGCCCCGAGAAGCCCTCACAGAGGGCCACGAGGGGACGCGTCCCGGGATGTCTGGGCCAGCTCTGTGGCGTGGGGGCTGGAGGCAGTCTCGTGGGTCATTACCAGAGGAACAGGCAAGTGATACGCAGGGGCGTTCTCTGGCGTCCTGCAGCTCAGCTGGGGACAGCAGACGGATGTGCACACAGCAACATGGATGTCGATATTGAATGGGAGGAAAACAGTAAACTCCACTGCCCAGTGTCATATGCCAGTGAAAAATACATTCTCCCAGAACATCAAAGTCATGTAAAAAAAAAAAAGCAAATGTCACATCACAAAGGTTTCTGGGAGCAGGGGGTGGTGCTGGGGATAGTTGTAATTATTGTTGCTTCACAACAATTCATTTCCGGAATTTACTGGTTTAAAATAGAAAAAATCGTTTTATTATTTCCCCGGACTTCTGTGAGTTAGGCAATTGAGAGGGGTTCACGCGGCTGCTTCTGGCTTGAGGTCTCTCGGACAACTGCAGTCCTACGGTAGCTTGAGCTGAGGCGGGGCCCTGGAGTGGCTGGGGGCTTGGGGGTGGGGGGACCCTGAGAACACAGGGCTTGCGTGTGCCTCTTCACAGCATGGCAGCCCTTCCGTCCGTCTGAGAAGGTCTGAAAGCACAGCCTTAGCTCTTTCTGAGGTCCTAGCAAAGGATCTTTGCAGTCCTACCCTGATCTGATTTCTTGCAGGAAACATAGTTTGGGAATCAGGTGCCCTCCGAAAGAAAGTCTGGGAGTGAGAAATAGTCCTGGCTCTTTTGTATGTAACGGCTTATTCTTTCGTTCCTCTCTCTCCTCTCACGCTTTGTCACAGCAGCAAGGAGCCAGGAGGCGCTTCTCCAATTCTACCTGCTAATCTCTTCGGATAGAGCACCTGTACACTAGGTACATTTCCTGTTTTCCCTGTGACCATGACATTGTTTGCCAAGCTTTCCGCCCTGCGTAACAAGGGCCCCTTTTCTCCCGCTTCCAATTGGGTTTCCTTCCTTTCTTTCAGTTCTCACCCAGAGCATCCTTGAGACCCATTGTTTTGGTTAACACTCTCCTGAAGGCCCTTACGATTTATGTGCTCATGAATCTAACCCTCCTCAAGGTCCTTCCAGCCAGTGCCACGTGGTTCGGGTTTATTTCTGTTTTGCTACTTCTACTTCCCCGAGTACCAGAGGCAGTAACCAGTGTAGTTCCGCGCCCAGCACCAGTTTGTGCTCCACCTCTGCATCTCCCCTAGCCCTGTGATCGGCACTAGCTTCCACCCAGGTTTTTAGGCCCCAAGCCAATGATGCTTGATTCCTCTCCCAGGTCCACTGTATCCTTGTAAATCTCGCTGCCTCCAGATTTCGAATTCGAACGTGTCTGTCTTCACTGCTTTAGTCCAGGTCACCACGGCCTCTTACCTGGACTGCCGCAGGAGCCTCCGAATCACTTGTTCTTTCCACGTCAGCCATCGTCCGTCCACTCCTTGCCTATGCACACAGCAGCCAGAGGGGCCTTTGTGTTTACCAAACCAGGGGAGAATGCGCTCAGGACCCCTAATGACCTAGAGCTTCTTTCTGCCCACCTCTGACCCGCATCCGCCAGCCCAGCATCCCCTTGGCTCACTCATCTCCACCAACACTGGCTGATTCCTGGGCAGGAAGCTCCTTCTCACCCTGAGGCCTTCTTCGCACTGATTTCCTCTGCCCCTAGCTCTTTCTCTCACTTGTTTCAGGCCTCTGCTTAAATTACCTTCCGCAAAGACTTCCAAAATGCCACTTCCCTCAACTTTCCACTCCTTCCCCTGCATTATTATTCACAGCAATCACCATTATCTGGAATTGCGTCTGGTGCTGGTTCCCTAACTAGGCTGTAAGCTCCTCAAGGGCAGGTGTAGTGCTTTACTCACAGCACAACTCCCCGTGTTTAAGAGTTGCCAGCAAATGGCAGGATCTTTACCATTCTTTAATGCATTGATCTCTACATTCTTAAGCTGGAGGAAAGTTAGGCAGCAAAAGCCCTTGCAAGCTTGCCAATTAGTAAGTAGTCTCAGACCTCCTTAGTTTCTATCCAGATACCTAGCCAAAATTTAATAGGTCAGGTATCAATATTATATGTACTTAGGACAAAAATTCACTCATTGACTCAAACAGCTGATTTATATCCATATCGTTACTTTCTTAAATATTTTTACCTCTCTTCAAGGCCACTGTCATTTACTCAAGTGATGACTGAGTTAACTATCAGTTAACTGTTTAAACTTTTAGAACTGTTATGTTTCAAGCCAATTTTCCTGAAAAGCTGAGCTGGTCAAAGTATAGGCATCTGTATAGATAATGTACACAAGTCACGAATCTAACCGGAGAAGTTTTGACTCTGGACATAAAAAACTGTACTAATTGGCACCACACCTCGTTTGTACTCATAGACACTTTCACCAGACTCCCTGGACCACTGGGTTTTCGTCGCAGTCGGTGGCATTTCTGTCCCAGCTCACGGGTCCCAGCCAATAGTTTCTTAACCAGAATTGAAGCTCTTGGGTCTCCACGTAGAGAGAGTCCAGGCATCCTGAAGGCATGCGAACGCGTCTCCAGGACGGGGGGAAGGCAAGAAGTGGGACTCGCAAGGCACTTAGGAAAGCAGCAGGGCCTGCACCTTCAGCATCACCAGTGTGACCGTTCTGTTCATTTACACCTTGGTTTACTGCAACTCATCGTGCCTGTCACTGTAAGAATGACTTTAATCATGTCCACCCCGAAGATCTGAGAAGGCAGGAGTCAGGAGGCCAAGGAAGCATTTCTCCCCAGTCTTCGGGACTTGGCGACTCAGGTCAGTCACAGCCAAGCTCAGGATGGGCTGTGGGGTGAGGAGCCATTTGTCTTGCGTATTGAATTCACTCAACACGTATCAAGTTATTTTTGGAAGTTACACATGTTTTGAAAGAACACTTTTTGCCCTGGCTGGTGTAGCTCAGTGGATTGAGCTTGGGCTGCAAACCAAAGTGTCGCAGGTTCGATTCCCAGCCAGGGTATGGGCCTGGGCTGCAGGCCATAACCCCCAGCAACCGCACATTGGTTTCTCTCTCTCTCTCCCTTCCTTCCCTCTCTAAAAATAAATAAATAAAATCTTAAAAAAATTTATATATAAAAAAAGAAACAACACTTTTTTTCTTAAGGTTACTATTAATTACACTAACTAAAGATAGTTTCCCTTATGATAGCTGAAACCAGTACTTTGTGAGGCAAAAGCAACGAATAATCTTTGCCTCGACGAGAGATGCATAAATTCCTGAGGACTGTATTTCCCATTCTGCATTAAGAACATTCAAAAACCATCACAAAAACTCAGACACTGCATTTATTTAACTAATATAAGTTTATGCATTTGGTATATTTTGTTTTTTTATTTGAAAAAGCACATGCATGTTAAAATAGTTTTGATAGAAATTTTTTATAAATGTAACTTAAAAAATCAAACTTTGTATGGTTAGTGAGGGGTGTTT